TCCATCTCTGAGAAGATCGGCCACCAGAGAATACAAGGACCATTCATCCATCTGAAACCACTCTCTCGGGGAAGAAATTCACATACTTTTTGAAGCCTCCATTGGGAATTCTGCCGGAGAAAAAGCAACCAAACATAAGAGAAGATGAAAAATTCGATCCGGAAACAAGCTCTATCGGCCATGGATCAACCGCCGCAGATCTGGCCGGAGAGAAGAAAAACAAATATAGAAAGAAAAGAGAAAGAAAACAAATGAGTAAAAAAAAACAGATTTGACGGAAGAGAGAGTGGAAAAGGAGAGAGAGGAAGATAATGAAGAGAGAAATAAAAAAGATGATCAGAAAAATCAGATGTGGTCGGAAAAACCAGATCTGGCCGGAGAGAAGAAGAGAAAAGAGAGAGAAAGAGAAAGAGAGAGAAAGAGAGAAAAATAAAAGAGAAGGAAAAGAAATGAGAAAGAAAAAAAGTTTAGATTTAATATATATATATATATATATATCCATAATAATTAAAAAAAAATATTATTTTTTATTTTATATTTAAATAATAAAATATTTTTGTGTGTTTTCTTTATTTTATTACGAAAATAGTATTTTTTATTATTTTATAACGAAAATGACAGATCTGGTTATTTTAGTTAGTCAGTTGTAGAAAAATGTTATTCTAGTAAATACCCTATTTAATAAAGTTATTGTAGGTAAATAGCTCTTATATAATTATCTAAACTGAATTTATTTTTTTTATTTCCCTTTTGTAATTATAATTTTTTTTCTCTTTTTTTAGACTTTTTATGACAAATAATATATTTTCTAATTTTCTAAGCTAATTAATTTGTATTCATATAATTTAACTGTAATCAGTGTCAAATTTTGATCAAGAAATTAAATAGTTATTATGATCATATTAACAAATAATTTTATGCATCAATTTTTATTTAATAAGATATATTTAATTATAGTTAAAGATAAATAAATAAAATATTATTTTAATAATAAGAAATGCTTTTGTTCATAAGCAAATTTTGGAGTGTGTTATTCGTTCGGGGTATAGAGCTGTGCCTTCGAGTTTCGTCTTGTAGGAGGCAAAGGCGACAAGTTGTTCTGAGGCGGAAGCCGATCCGAGTCCTGTGAGCGTGGAGAGAGATCAGTCTGAACCTGCAAATACTATGCAAAAGGTCAATCAAACCCTCTGGAAGACCAAAGAGGGTCGTCCTCCCGAAAGTTCTCCGACGGCCAAATCAATGAACATCCTACAGGGAAACGGTACTCATGAGGGTGTTTCTAGGGGTTTGGGTGAGAGGTCTCGTCCGGGGATCGAGACATCTATCAGTTTACGAGTGTTTCGATGGGGTTCTATAATATGGAGAGGTCTGGTTGGCTGAATGATGCATGCGTGTTTTGGAAAGCTCGCCAACTGGCCGGGAACAGTGCTTGGGAGTCGTTGGCTGAGCTAGTTAACCGTGTCAGCGTTTAGGGTGGTTCAGCATCCACGTGTCAAACTATCATTGAAGATGGTAAAATCGGTCCCAACAGTTGCCCTCGACTTCTCGACTGATTGGGACATGAGTCGGGGAGTTGACTTCTTTTGGGTTTCCTGCACAATAAGCATAAGTTATCCGATTTTTTAAGCGTTCTGTCGTTTAAAGGCTATATTAGCGCGATGACCTTGCTGCGTATCCCAAGGGGTACGGTACTATTATGGGCGAAGCTAAGTTCTTAAAGGCTATATTCAAATAGGGACCCGCCCGAACCGTGCCATGCATTCCAATGGAGTATGGTACTAGTTGGGGGGTCCTGACTTTTAGGGAAGTATTGAAGGAGGCATCATCTCCAACCCTGCCACGCATCGGGAGGGAGTGCAGTTCTGGTCGGAGGATCGAACGAAAGAAGAGCCTAAACTCCGACCTTATTCGTAGTCGCGGAGGAGCACGTTATTGGTCGAGGGAATTACACTTTCGGAGTAACAAACCGCAGGGCGGCTTAATAGATGTCAACTCTGGCCTCATTCGCATCCGGAGGAGTACGTTACTGGCCGAAAGAATTACACTTCTAGGGAAAACGAACCATGAGACGATCTGACTAAATATATAATAAGGGGACTCGCCCCCGTTCGCCACGCATCCGGAGGAGTACGTCGTCGGCCTGGGGCACGCATCCGGAGGAGTATGGTACGTACTTATGATAGGAAGATATTAGCACTCTCGGAGGAACTGATAACTCGCCACTGGTGGGTTTAGGGTTTTACTTCCCCGAAGGGATTTTACTTCTTGTTTTGTGGGGTATTAGACAAGAAACCGTCTTGCCCCCTCTCATCAGGATCACAAGAGAGGTTATAGTCTTATGTGACCATGGGGATTGACATGAGAAAATGACGTGGTTACAACACCAACCCAAGGGCCAGAGGTAGCGCCGTTTAGCGGATGAATATATGTTCCCTGCATCGGGGAGTGCTAACGCAAGGAGGAGTCGCTACTCGAGTGCAGCTAGTGCAGAGTATGGCGTTTTCCAAGGGCGTTGCCTCGACTCCCTTACTGCATGGACAGTCTTCGCGTTGTGCTTACGCGAAAGTTTTTGGGTTTTAAGATCGTGCTTGTGACTTACTCCGGAGGGAAGAGGTCAGAGATATTATCAGGAAGAGAAAGCATGCGAATAGGCAACCTGTGGTACCTGAGTGGCAAGTGTGGGATGGAGCATGCTATTTTATTGCATGGCCCGCTGGAGGGGACTGGCGAGGAAGACCAGGAGGTCTGAGAGGTCGGAGCCTCAGACTCCCAAATGAGGGGTGCCCCGCAAGACAAGCAAGTCCACAGAGGAGCATGCTCAGTAGGCGCGCTGTCCCTGGAGGGAGCTGATGGAGGAAGGGTCCAAGGGGCCTACTGGACGGGAGTTCTGAATTCCCAGATGAATGGTGTTCCGGAAGACAAGCAAGTCCGCAAGGGAGCATGCTAAGAAGGAGAGTTTGAAGAAAGTTGCTGAAGTTCAAAGGTGAACGTCAATGGTATGCAAACGAGAAAGAACATACCGTTGTGCAGACGGGAAGCATATAATCATGCAAACAAGATATCACACAATTACGCCTGCAAGAAATCACACAATCATGCAAGCAAGAAGTCACACGGCTGATTTCGCGTTGATGGCGGTCAAAGTCTTCTCGAGTAGTCAGACAACGATCAGTCTGCTCAGGCGGAAACTTGAAGAGGAGCATCAGCGGAACAGATCGCGCAGGATGGATGCTTCAGGAGCAGCAAAGGGCGCGAGAGGTGCAAGCCTTCTTCACCGGCGGGATCTTCATGCCCGTCGGGGTTTTAGCTTAAGCAATCTTTTTGGGGAATTTTGTCCTTTGTAAAATGTATTGTCGTACTTTTGGATCGATGACTGATTTTCTGGCTTTGTTCACTTTAAGTTACTTTGCACATCTTTCGTTTCAATGCGCTTTTCTCGTGTTTTGCTTTGTTTTGCGGCGGATATGACTTCTTGACTTTGGGGCCAGTACATGCGATGGCTTCGGAGTCCTGAATCTTGTTGAGTAGGATCGTCCCACGTGACTCGCGGCCCTTATAAGTCTTTTTGTTCCTCGCATGGTCTAGCTGCATAAACTGCTTCCTTCATGGAACGCTCGCGGGTGATCCCCCTTTCTTCTAGCGCCAACTGTTTGGGTGCAAATTTTGTGATGCCACGTGGGGTTGTGTCATTCGTTCAGGAGGCAGAGGAACCGTTTCTCCGAGTTTCATCCTGTTGGGGGGGGGGGAAGGTGACGGGTCGTTCCGAGGCGGAAGCTGATTCAGGTCCTATGAGCGCAGGGAGAGATCAGTCTGAACCTGCAAACACTACGCAAAGGGTCAATCGAACTCTCGGGAAGACCGAAAGGGGGTTTTCTTCCCGAAAGTTCTCCGACGCCCAGTCAATGAACGTCCTACCGGGAACATGTACTCAGGATGGTGTTTCTACGAGTTTGGGTGAGAGGTCTCGTCCGGATATCGAGACATCTATCAGTTTATGAGTGTTTCGATGGAGTTCTACAATATGGAGAGAAGGGATTCAGCAAGCATAAAGGCGTAGTTCTGAGTTAAGGAATGACTTATCCTGGTAGGCATTGTTTCGAGGGAATAGGAAAGTCTCCTCTTGACTATGATGTTTAGCGGTGTGAGCATGTCTGGATCGATCGGGCTATTTCCTACTTAGATCAGATTCTAGGGAGATCTGGTATTTTCTCCCGTTTCTGCCGTTTGTCCTTTGATCCCCCTTTCCTTTGTTGGAGTTTCATTCCTTTTATACAAGCTTCTCCTGGTCCAGTCCTCTTCATACGGTGTGCCAGAGGAGTAGGTGGACTGAATGATGCATGTGTGTTTTGGAAAACTCGCCAACTGCCTATAAACAATGCTTGAAAGTCATTGGCCAAACTAGTTAACCGTGTCAATGTTTAGAGTGGTTCAGCATCCATGTGTCATACTATATCTGGATATGGTAAATCAGTCTCAACAACTTTACTAAAAATCGAGCATCATCAATTACATTACAAAAATATGCATAAATTTGATTTTAATTTGATTATGTAATAAATATTAATTATGATATAGTGATGTGAGAACTTTTTGAATATAATCACAAGAATTTTGTAATGTTAATGGATTCTATTCTTAAAACTTTGGAGTATATGTATTCCATAGTTTTTTTTTTGTTTTATTGAAACCAAACTAAACATGGAGTGAAATTATGCCTAGTTCTCTTTCCATGTAAATAATAGTATTACTTTACTAATGTCATTTGCTTAAAAGCTACATATATAGAGGTGAAATTATCAGATCTATATAATCTGTAGATGACATCTAATTAGACGGATTTCAATATAAGAAAGCTATTTTCTTATTCAATAATCTATCAAGAATATCAACTTTCAATAAACAAAAATAATGTATACAGAATAATGGAGAATGACTGAAAATTTTTTTAAAAAAAAATTTGATACTTTTATGTGTAACCACCAATTAAACTGGGTGCAACGTTATGATTTAGAAGGAACAAATAATTTGGACCATGCACTAGTTTATACATTTTTTAATATATAATTATTATTTATTAATTGTAGATTTTCGTTTATATGTAAAAAGAAAATAAAAGAGATAAAATTATCATGATAAATTCTGAAACTATTTTTATCCTCTCATTTTTTTTTTGTCTTTCTAGTCATCATGATCCTGCATTATTTATCATAATAAAAAAACTACAGTATGACAATTTCACTCTGGCATAAACACACACGACTATATATATAGAGAGAGAGATTTACGGCGAGTGAGAAGTTGAGTAAAAAGTTGCAAGTGAAATGATGGTCGCATTCGATCATACACTGTTTGTAGCAAGGTGAAGTGAACTCCAGACCGTGGCACGTCATTGAACATTGAAATGAGCAAAAATGATTTATTGCTTCTCCTCCAGTGGCAGCCATGACCACCAAAACAAACATCATCATCATTGCCACTCTCGATTTGTTATCCATTTCTCTTCTTAATTTGAACAATTTATATGTAATACTAATATATATATTCAATGGAAGCTCTCTCTCTATATATAAAGATAAAATGACGAACTATTTGTCTTGTTTCTGTTAAATACCTCCATATATGGCAGTCCTCTTTAGCAAAAAAATATATGGCAGGTCATTAATATGCAAGTGTCGAACATTGATTTCAGAAATTTAAAAAATGCATAAAAAAGTATGCAGAACAAAATATAATTTACCGAACAAAATGACGTGTTCTTCTTTTTTAGTCTATATATGTATATATGTCTTCCACTATTTAATTTGTTCGATTTTATAATTTTGAATGATAGGACTATACAATTTTTTTTGCTTTTGTAGTAAGATTGCGAGGTTAAACTCAATAAAAAAAATTGGAAATAAAAATATAAACCACTAATTTTAGTAATAAAATAGTGCTTTACTTAAAAGTCAAGCATGTATTTTCACACGAAATTGGTTTGAATTTGATCCACGGTAAATATTTATTATGATTTAGTAATACAAGAATTTTTTGTGATCCAAATTTTTTGTGATATTCATGGATTATATCCTTGAAAAAATAGAATTTATGTATTCCATAATTGATTTTTTTAATTGAAACTGAACTAAACATGTTTAGGAAACACAGTATTACATTTTTAGTTTAACTTGAATTAGCAATAGGTAAACTTTTTTTTATCTTTGCATTTAACGTGAGGTTTTAATTATGCATGGATTTCTAACTCAAAGTCAAATTGAGAAGGAATGAAGAGATCTCTTACTATCTATTAATGCTGAATCAACGTTAATTTCAATATGGAAGGTTGTATTAACTTTACCGACCTCTGGAAGTTGCTACAATGAAAAGGAGTTTTTCCGTTTGGAAGAATATGGAAATTCATGGCCATTTGATATGCATGAAGCTAACTGGTTTGTGATCTTTTTGCAAAACCAAAAGTAGGTACTCGGTTAACAGAAAAAAAAAACTTGCTTCTGATGAATAAATGAAATTGTTATTTTGTTTTAAATTTTATTACATATATGGAGGAAATGATCAAATCTGTTGATTTCATCCATGTCAAACCATCTATTTATGCCTTTTTAAAATTTTGACATTAGATTTTGAGGGGTTGTATCTCTCAATCCATATAAATCAAAGTTTTGCTTAAATCTGTGCTTGAACTAGAGGTCCAAATAATCTCCTGCATGTGCATCCTTCGATCATCTTGTCTTCTGAGAGGATTATGCAATGAAAATGTGGGTTGTTCAACTTGTGGTGCAGCTAGTTTTGGAAGCGATGTGTTTTGTGCTTTTGGGAGCCGTTCACATTATTTTCATCATCATCTGAACGGTAAGAAAGCTTGACTGAGTTATTAGTAACTTTTTTCCCAGCCTCACTTCCTCCTGATTCACTATTTTGGATGCCGGCTTTGAAAGATGTAACCCTGAAAGATTTTGCTTTCAGTCCACAGAATTTCATGTTCCGACAATTAATTGCAAAGCGGAATATAAATGAAAACTATTTAGTAAACCATGTCTCTGTATCTAACAAGGAACTCTTTAATTAACAACTTCAGTTTAATTCTACAATGTAGCTAAATATCTACCTTTCTAGAGCAATAGAGAGAGTCGTGACTCTCAAACTTATTTACTGGTATCTAGAGATGCAAAAGGCCTAGCTGATAGCTTAGCAAAAAATGCTAGAATCAAGGAAAGTCATTTTGTTTTCTCATGGGTTGTATGATATGTATGAACTAAAGGTCCAAATACTCCCATGTGTATCCTTCGATCATCATATTCTTATAATATATTTTTGTTTGAACCAATTGTTCACATGAAAATAAGAAACTTTTTTATTATTATATTATCTTTAGTTATTAATTATAGATTAGGGGGTTGAATGGTTGACACATCATTAAATTGTAATTTATTATCTTTAGTTATTAATTGTACATCTTAAGTTGCACCGTCTTACTGTTAGGAGCACTGTTTCTCTCCAGAGTTCTTTTTAGGATTCTGGTCGTCTGCCTCCTCTCCATCGTTACACTCGAGAGAAAGAGTCGAGAAAGAGAGAAAAAGTCGAGGACGAGAGAGAGAGAAATGGGGAAGAAAACAAATAACCAATAAAAATAGAACACGTATGGGGTTTTTATCAGTTCTAAAAACTCTATGTTCAGAGTCGATTCTGAACATTCTATTTAATTTTGAATTATTTTTGAACACGTATGGGGTTTTTTTTTTTATTCTGAACATTTTTTGTCAGAACCTTATGTTTAAAGTCTCCATCGGAGATGGTCTTACACCCCTTAGTAAACTGATTTAGACTGATCAAAAGCATTCCATAAAGATACATAGCTTCAGGATGAGCTGCATCAGCCGCTAACAAGAGTTGGGTAGATCCTGTAACTGTTTAAAAAAATAAATAATAATCTATTAGACCACATAAGAATATTGCATGTAAATTCCCAGATTTACCACACTCTTGTAGTAGTTCTAATTTCTTAGGCACTCTCTCCAATGATGCTGGGAAATCTTATCAAGATTTAGCTTCAATGTTTAATGTTTTGCACGACATGATACAAGCTACCAAATCAGGATGTGATTAATGCTGATGTGTTTTTGTTCTGTTCTATGTGTTTTTGAGTTTTCTATATTTCAATGATTCCTATAGCAATCAATGTGGTAAGGGTAATGTTTATTAGCATATCTTCAAGCTGAAAACCAAACAAAGCCTTTGGTTAAAAATCATATTGTTATGAAAAAGAACAACGCTATAAACATAGGCAAATAAACCATCATGTCCAACTCCAAAAATAGGTTGCTGAGATATCAAGAACTTCATCAATTGTTGGAAAACTTTGATGTCACTGTTAAAAGTAATTGAAAGTTCTATGGGACAAACCTGGGCAAAAATGTCTGTAAGGTGAGCAGATGTGTCTCTTATCTCTGAGTTCCTTTATGTTTTTCCATATAAGCGAGAAAATCCCGATCCAACTTAGGTTTCCAATCAAATAGGGTGCATCCAGTAGCCATCTCTTTTATGTCATCGATCAATAGGAGCTTATTTGGATCATTACAATCACCCCTTGAACTTTTATGGTTTCACAACTTTTGCATACAACAAAAGGTTCATGTTGTAAGATAGCATCACTACAGAAAATACATGTATTGTATCATTTAAATTGTATCAACAAAATAAGTGATATTACATTATATTACTTATTTATAAATGAAACCAATATACTTGGTTTAGCATCAATTATTATATAATTGATTTTATAATTAACTAGTCTGACACCAATTTAATAAAATTGATACAACTTTTATTAGTTTGTATCAGTTTGACTAAACTGATATTAAAATATTCATTTACATCAAATAGATAATCAATGTATTTACTAATTTTTGTCAACATCACTTATAAAAACGCAAAATTTATATCAATAAAACTGATGCTAACAAAATTATACTAAAAACATTAACATAATTGTGTGAATTAGCTTCAACTATTAAAACTGATTTAAACTATTTTTCTTTAATATCAATTTAACAAAAATGATGTTATTTTATATCAAATAAAACTAATTTACATCAATAAGATCATGAACATATATATATGTTAATTTTTTAATTATTTTATACTATAATTTATATATCTATCTTTTTTTTAACAAAAACAATTATGATTTTCAAAGGAGACAATCCCAACAATCTTAGAAAAAAAAATAAAGAAACCAGAGAATCCATCCATTGTCTTCCAATGGTCTCTCACCACCTTGTATGTTTTCATTAGTAAATTTGGGAAGACGCTATCAACATAGGAAAAAAAACCATCATGTCCAACTCTAATAATAGGTTGCTGAGATATCAAGAACTTCATCCTCAATTGTTGGAAAACTTTGATGTCAGTGTTAAAAGTAATTGAAATTTCTATGGGACAAACCTGGGCAAAAATGTATGTGAGGTGAGCAGAAAGGAAACTTACACTCAGTGCACCTTGCATGGTCATGCCTAATTGCATACTCATCTCTAGCTTTATGTTATCCTTCGATTAATTAAAATTAACTAGGTAGTACGGGATATTTTTCTAAATTTTGTATATATTTTTAATATAATAAAATTGTTTTTATAATACAAATAAATAATATATTTATTTATTCTATTACCTTAGGTTATGCATTTATATGTTTTAAATCTGAATTAACATTATATATCCTTAATTTATTTTTTGAAATTGTAATTTGCTATAAAATTTGTTTAAGTATACATTTAACTAACTATAAATGTATATGTAAAAATAAAATAATATAATTTTAATTACCTTCATACTACTGGCAAGTATAATCTACTTTTTATACTAAATTGCCACTTGATCCTCCCTTATAATTATATAAAGCTAAATATCATTTTTAAAAAAGATTTATTAACTAATATGATTATTTTAAATTATAATATTTATTTATTTATCAAATATTTATTATAAACATATGTTTAAAACCACCAAACCATAATCAATAACATTAATATCAAAACCATTGTTATTGCTTTAGAACTAAATACAAAATTCTATTTGAATTGTTGAAATATCAATTTAGCATAAGTTAAATAATTAAATTTTGGTTACTGTAAACCTATGGTAACTTGGAATTTTACTAACAAAAAAATTCATCTTCTTACAAAAACTGAAAAAATCACATTTCCCGTTAAAATCAAAAAATCGTTTTTCCACAAAAACTAAGAAATTGCATATTCCCGCCAAAAACAAGAAATTTTATTTTCTTGCCAAACCAAAAATTTCATTTTCCCACCAAAACCAAAAAATTGCATTTTTCCGCAAAAACCAAGAAATCACATTTTCCCGCGAGAACCTGTGTTTTTTGCCAAAACCGAGAAATCACGTTCTCTCACCAAAACCAAAAAAATTCATCTTCATAAAAAAATCAAAAAATATTTTTCCGTCAAAAACAAGAAATTTATTTTCCCTCGAAAACCAAAAAATCGCCTATTCCCGCCAAAATTAAAAAAATTCTATTTTCT